CCCAAAATATCCAACAAAATTGCACAGATAAACTGATAGATAGGAAGTTTCATTAGCTTAAAAGCAAAAATATTCTCAATGACTTTGAAAATACCAATGAGTTATCAAATATCACGTGATGTCACTTGACTGGCTGGAAACTCAAAGATAGCTGAGATTGCAGCCAGGAGAGGTAGAACAAGGAAGATTTTCTTTCAAAAGGGAGAGATGCACAAGGAAACAGACCCTGCTTCCTGCATTTGGATTCTGTGGTGTGCGCGCGCTCTAGGTGGGAGTTTAGGATCACTGCCACACCGCCCTCGATTTGCCAATGCAAGTCTCAGGTGGGTAGCCTCGAGAGAAACGGCGACAGTGAGCCTCCTGCCTTGGCTTTCTACCTCGTTGCGGAGCAACCCACGCTCGGCTTAGTTGGCTCGTTCTTGGTTCACGACCAGCCCCCACCCTCACCCCTTGTGGGCTTTTATGTGTTAATTGAGGCACAGATGCTGGAGTGGAAGGGAAGCCGGCTGCTTTCACACAATACGTTTATCTCAGAGGCTGAATTAATCATGCGGGTCAGAAAGACACGGAACTTTCTTTCAGCGAGTTTCAGCCAATCACTCCCTCCCCCCCCCACCCAATGAGGCAAATTTTGCCTTCTTAAACTTTTGCGAAAGCAGCTGTGGGCAATATTCCCTCTAAACAGTTGCTCCAGGAAGCCCCAGCCACCTCAAGTCCTCAACCCAGTCACATTGCTGCCCTGCTGCACCTTAAGACTCCTGTTTAGCTGGAGGGGGTTTCAATCATGTTTGTGTGGCCGTTCTGCAGACTGCAGTCCGTGTCCGGCAAACGACACTGCGCGGCAGTTGGAAACCGCTGCGCGTGTTTACTTTCCACATGCGCGGCCGCACAGCTTAGAGGGAACATTGGTAGAGAGGTAGGGTAGGGACAAAATTAACTCCTGCTGACATAGTCTCAGGGCATATAGTGCTTCTTTTGAAAAAAAAAAATCCATAAAAATCGATTAAAAGGAAGAACTTCCCACAAAATCCGTCAGTTACTCTTTCATAATTGTTTAAGTTTTAACTGCAAATAATTTCCATTTCACAAGTTTATGTAAACAAGAAAACAAATTAAAAAATTTGAACAGGTATAAAGAAAATGAATTTCTAAGTAATACTCCAGTTGAGAGTTTTGATGACAGAAAAAGTTAGTTTTTCATAAAAATGAAATTGAAGGAGAAAGAGTATCTTTCTTTGTACTGTCAAACTTTTTGGAAGTAAAACTGCATACAGTATTCATTTTCTTTCCTTCCATGTTCACTTCCACACTATTGAGGTCTTAATCAAAAGAATGTGAGCATCCTCTATGTTAAAACTTAGTTAAATGAAATATATTGTTTATAGTAAAATAGACCAATAGAGATATATGAAATTATAATTTGGTGTAATTTTTGAAGGGGCAATTGAAAATATTGTTTATGTATTAAGAAAAAATAAGTATAAAAATGGAAAATAATGGAAGAAAATAATTTGGCTGAAAGTGAAAACAACTATGATGTAAAATGGATTATGTGAATGAGAGAATGTAAAAAAGAAAGATCCACTCAACACTTTGTTTCTATAATATGTGTAAATTTGCTATGAATTACATAAAATACTAATGCTTATTTTATATAATTAGAAAAACTTAGAACAAAGTAGCCAATAATCATCTTCATCTTATTCTTTTCCTTATAATGTTTTAGGATTATTATTTTTGAATTAGCAAGTTTCTTTACCAAAGTTGGGGAAGGAAAAAAAATCTAACCCTCTTCTCTCCCCCCCCCCTTTCCAGATTGAGGATTATGAAGAAGAACCCATTTTACAGCCTGGCTGTAAAGAATATTTCTGGTTGCTATGCAAACTAATAGATAATATACATGTAAAAGATGCTAGTCAGGTAAGCATAACTGATTTCATGTTAAAGGTTTGTGTTGTATTTATGTTTATGCTTACTCCGTCCCATAATTGGGTAGACCAGGTTGCCCTGATAGACCGGTCTCACCAGAAAAACACTTAGGTTAAAGTTGTATTTTCCCATTTTTAAGTCTGTATTAGAGACTATCCAACTTGCCAAACTGGCACAAGCCTAGCAAAACTGGACTTCTGTAACTTTGTAAAGATGATTTGACAACAGATTTACAATAAATAATACATTGCCCTATTCTATAATGCTACTGTATTAACCATTTATCACTCAGTAAACCACCAAATCTAAGAGAGTACTTTTTAGGAATATTTAAAACATTTCTACATCAAAATATTCCAATCTCAGAAACAGTGTAATTTTGAATATGCTGAGTTTGCATTGAGAAAAAACAAAACTTTGTTTTTCTCCCTACTTTAGAAAAAAATATATTGTGGATTTGTTTTGAATTTTCTGATTATTCCAGGCAAATTTCAGGAAGAGGTCATATGTTGCATATGTGTTGTGTGGCATTTTACTTTGTAGGAAGGTAATATAAAAATATGTATGTTTAGTGTCCTTGTGTTTATATACACAATAGCACTTCATAGAAAAGTATTGATGCCTTTGCCATCATGTAAGTGTAGACTGTTTGTGCAGTATTGGTTGATTCGCTTTGTTGGCTTTTGGGGTATGTATTCATTTTTTACAAACTCAAATGCCTTGTAACATCCTCAACATTTTTTTAAATTTTGCAACCAGAATAATGTGTATGTACAATCAAACCATCAGCAAATACCTACTCTGTATAATTGTTTTTGCTGGGTTTTGGCCTGGCATGCAGGGTAAGGAAAAAACCTTTGGTTTGCCCTTGTTAAGTAAGAGGAGGGAGAGCGTTTATAGATAAAATGATGAACTGATGTTTTTTTTAAAGTGAATCCATTATGAAACTTTATAATAATAAAAGAAAATGTAATTTATGGTTATCTGCCTGGTTCATTTATTTTCAAACTGGAAGAAATGCTAAATGGAAAAAATGTTATTGAGGTTGGCTGTTTTATCCTGTTGAGTAGGAGGAGCAAGAGTGATAAAGCATGCTTCCTTCTCTTCCTTCCCCCCCTTTCTTTTTCTCTTGCACTCCAGCTGGTTTGCCTCCCTCTTCCCCCACTTTTTTCTGCTCTTTTCTCCCATTCTCAAAGTCACCCTTCCTCTCCCTTTTACACATGCACAGTCTTTCTTCCCATTTGTGTGCAGATTCCTAGAGGAGCAAGGAAGCACCAAGCAGGTTCCTACAGGAGATTGGCTTTTGCTTGGGATCCTGTAGGTTAAAATTATGAAGTAGATTCCAAGAGAAGATCTGCTTTCTCTAGGAATCTGCTTAATGGATTTAACTGTCAGGAAGCTAAGCACTGTCTGAGAGAACCTTAGCAAACTTGTTTCAGCAGGGTGGAGGTTTTGCATATTTGGATTTTGACAGGCACCAGACTAGAGAAGCAGTGGTAATGTAATGTAATAAACACAAGTTATGTCATAGGTATGGGAGAGGTCATAGGAGGCCCAGCACAGGCTCTGTGTGAGTATCTCTAGTGCTGGAAGTTTGGCTCTTGCTTTGATTTCAGCAGGGATGATTTTCAGCTCCTGAACGGAGCCTCTTAAGGCAGTGATAGCTAACCTTTTTGTCGTCATGTGCCGATGCAATGCGCACATGACCCCGCCACACACGACCGGCCTAGAAGGCCTCCTGCACCAACCTGGAAGCCAAATCAGGGTCCGGGGGTGGTGCGCAAGGCCCCAAAATGCAATGCGAGTGCCCCCACATGCACACGCACATCCTCTGCATGCACCCCCGCCCCCCCCTGTGCATGCATGGCAGAGGTCTGAAAACCAGCTGGCCAACGGGAGATGTGTGCGCATGCACGGTGGAGCTGGGCAGGAGTGACGGCTGGCGTGCCCGCAGAGGGGTTCTGTGTGCCACAGGTTCGCCATCACAGTCCTAAGGTCTCTCTTATCTAACTCAGACACTTCATATTCTACCTGGGATTCCATCAACTTAAATAACCAAAAGGATCATATAACAATTGCATCCAGTAGTGTCAGGATTGCAGTCATTGAGCAAACCAATCACATGGATATTTTGCTTAACAACTGCTTCTCTTAACAACCAAATACTGGTCATATTGAGAACTATCTGTAAAGGCATATAATTCAAGTATACATAGAACATTTGATCATAAAATCAAAGGTTGGAAGTCTGCATTAGCTAACACCAGTCAGATTGTATTTACGTACAGTATGTTGCTTATTAAAATATATTCAAAATATTTTCTCATTGCAATAGATCTTTTAATATTGCTTTGCATTTACAATTTCTTTTTGTTTCTTTTTACTTAGACAACTTTACTTGATTTAGATGCCTTAGCAAGACATTTGGCTGATTGTATTCGAAGGTAAGATTTAATCTTGTTAATTTCTTTAGAATATTTGGTTTAAATGATTTCCATCGAAATATCATTTAACAATAGAAAATTATCTTTGTCTTTTACAGCAGAGAAATTCTTGATCATCAAGATGGTAATACTGAAGATGATGGCCTTACAGGTCTCCTACGTTTAGCAACAAGTGTTATCAAACATAAACCACCTTTTAAATTTTCCCGAGAGGGGCAGGTAAGATCTAAAAAACTAAACCAGGATTGTAGTACTTGATCTTGTATATACTTATTATTACATTTTCCCTTAAGTATGAATACTTTTGTAAGATATATGTGAATGTTTTCTTACTACTACTTTTTTAATATTTCTACTCAAAATTGCAGTTTGAAAGATCACATACTGTAAACTTTGTATTAGGAGAAAAATACTTGACTGTGAAGCAAAGGCAGCAGTTTCCATGATAAGCATAGTTTGAGCCTCAGGTACATATAGTTAATTTTGAAAATCCTAATTAATCAGTGATTATGACACTGATCCCACTCAGAGCAGCATTAATTTCTCAAGATCCTTGAATTGTCAGTGTATATAATTCATAGTGGCAAATGAATGTGAGAAATATGCAATAATTTTGATTTTATGAATTATTCAGAGGTTGTATATGATCAAGATTTAGGGAGGCAAGGACTTTGGAAATGAAAGACTTATGAAGATATTACATAATTTGTTTGCAGCTGTAGAACCTTAGGGCTCCTCTTTCCTATGGCCATGCCCAAATTTTCCTTTATTTCAGGATTGTTATTTTTAATGTAAATTTCAGGACCTTAATTGGATTAACAGATTAGGTTGTTGTGATTAGCCTTCTTTCTTTCCATCTTTATAAAATGAATTAAGGCCTTTCCATTTAGTCAAATGTTTTAGTTAATATATAATTATTGTAGCACTAATTGAATAGTTTAATTAGATTTTAATTGTTTTGTAGTGTATATTTGTTTCTGTGTCAGTTCATTATGTTTAATGGTTAAATATGCATGCAAATTTAAATAACATTTCAATTTCAGATTTCATAAACTCAGTTTCTATGAGTTTTCACAACCTTTTTTCTTTTCCCTCTTCTCCTTTAGAGGCAGACTTGAATTGTTTACACTGTATGATGTAATAGCTTAGTTAAAGGGGGGGGAGAGAAAATAATTGCCCACCATGAATCTTCAGATTGCAATATTAAGTTCTGTGTAGAATATTCCAGCAAGTAAATGTTGATGTCAAGCTTTTATATTTCTCTTATTTTATAGGAATTCTTGAGAGATATTTTTAACCTTCTGTTCTTATTGCCAAGTCTAAAAGATCGACAACAACCAAAATGCAAGTCACATTCTTCAAGGGCTGCTGCTTACGACTTACTGGTAGAAATGGTAAAAGGTTCTGTAGAAAACTACAGGCTCCTCCATAACTGGGTTATGGCACAACATATGCAGTGTAAGAATATTTTTTCAAATTTCTCAATATTATGTGAGTAGGCAGATAATTTCAATTTCTTTGTATTTTTCCTTTAGGTTAAAAAATTTGTTAGGGTGTTGATTGGGTATAGAAATACATTAAATATTGTTGTATCCTTGTAAAAAGAGTAACCGTATCAGGACCTATCAGGAGATGGGCAACCTATAAATTTAATCAATAAATAAAAACAAAAAGCTTACCCATCCTTGAATATTCCTAATTAAAAAGTGCATTTGCAAGCACTTCAGCAGCCAGGAATATTTAGATGATTAAGTTACTGCCATCTATTGCCCCATCATGAGAAGTCTTCTCTAAGATTTTCTGACCACATTTATTAAAATATTGATGTTCATTTTGTTGGCTATTATGTTTCATGTTTATGTGCAATTCTGATTCATCATAAATATTTCAATGCACTTTAATACATGTCAGAATCATGAGCTCAGTTTTGAATTGACAAAATATGTTTTTCTCCATTCAAGTTGCTTTATTTTGATATGAAGCTGATGTATAATAGAATGTTCTAAAGAGATAGGAGTTACTATGGACCTTGAATGAAATACAGCTGATAGGAGTTCTACTTTAATTTCATCAAGTTTCCTCTTGGGGCATCATTCTTTTATCATTTCCTAGTGCCAAGTGAAGAGAGAAAAATTGTTTATATTCAGATCAAATATGAAATTTTTCTTTTCTCTCAAAATGAACAAATGGTTCCTCGCTAAGTATTGGGACACAGGCATTATATTCTGGATATGCTTTTCATTCTTCTAGGCAGAAAAGAAAACAATTGTTTTCCCTGCTCAAACAGAAATTGTGAATGCTCTCTTCTATCTTGGAATAGTGTTGTAGAAAAATATAAATCAGCACTGTTGGGGGGGGGGGGGGGGAAGCTGAATACCATTAGTGTTAAGTGAGCCAGTTGTGTCAAATAAAAGATGTGTAAGAAATTGTCCTGAAGAACAGGAGTCCACCAGCTGTGGGCCCCAGCCCACTATTGGGCTATGGCCTATTTGCAACCGGCTTTGTGAGTGGTGGGCTGACAAGTGCGCACAGTCCCACTCGTGTGAGCACCGGGCACCAGTGCTCACAGCCCCATTCATTCACACAAATGAAGCTGTGCGCACCTGCCCCTCACACAAAACCATCCCCTCTCCCCCCACCCCGCCTCCCTTTACGCTGGGCCACCAACCCAGAAAGGTTGGGGAACGCTGATGTAGAAAACAAAAGAGAAATGAACTAAATCATTATGTCTGCATCCCAGCTGAATCCATGATTGCTGGGTGCAACATTTGTGAAGGAGATTTGTATTACTAAGCCAATCTTGAAGATATTTTTTGTAATATAGTTACATTCCTTCCAGTAAAATCAAAATGTTAACTGATAATAAGGAAATGTTTAAAAGGTTTTATGAACCAAAACTTAAATAACTCAGGAATATCAATCCAAAATGAAACACATTATAAACGCAAAACTAAATGGATGCCTAAAGTTTATTTTGATTAGTATAATAGAGCTTTTGAGCAAGGGGAGCCTAAAGAGAAAAGTATACCATACTTAAGTGCAAATTAAAAATAGGATTTCAAAATGTTTAATTGACAGTAATGCAGGAAAGAAAATGCCAAACTGTAACATATCTTTCAACCACTACACTTTTTGCTTCAGACCTAAATTAGTTTTTTTTTTTTAAAAAAAAGTATTTTTCCTTTAAGAAACAAGCAGACTTTAGTTCTCTTTTTTTAGATACTCTCCCTTATTGCTTTTGAGATAGAACCTGGGTTCCAGAGGTAACGTATGAGTGGTTTACTCATGATCCCTTCAAAGAAAAAGGAGACACTTTCATGAGAACATGACAAAATGTAGGGCCTGAGAAGAGAGAATAGACACTCAATTAGTTGCTGGTTTTATTCACCCAGAAGATTAAATAATTAATGATGTTAACAGGTACTCAGAAATAAAATTACCTTAATGTCACAATTTCAGCTTCTCATGCACCTTATAAATGGGATTATTGGCCACATGATGATGTTAGAGCTGAATGCAGGTTTGTGGGTTTAACCAACCTTGGGGCGACTTGTTACTTGGCATCGACTATTCAACAATTATATATGATTCCAGAAGCCAGACAAGCCATTTTTACTGCAAAGGTATTTAACTTTTAACTTGATATGTATTTTAATATTTCAATTAATATCACTATAAAGTCAGTAAAAGTCAGTTTACTGAATGAATGACAGTTTTAAGCAAAGCTTTTCCTGCAAAATAGCCATCCTCTGATAAAAGAGATTCTGTTAAAGCTGTCAGAGTCTACCTGAAAAAAAATTGTAGGTTAGATAAACATACAAAACCTAACATATAGTAAGATACGATTTTATGTTCACATATGTCCCCATTTTAAAATTAGATCATGTACTGTCAGAATGGTGCTCATTCCAGTGTTAGTATATGGAAGCAAAAATAAAAAGGGGGGAGTATATTTTATGAAAATGGATATCATACTTGTTCTTTCAACAAAAGAAAAATTCACATTTTTTAATTCCAGTTTTTACTTTTTAATTTCATTGATACTCTTAATTTCCAACTTAAATAAAACCTAAATCTCCTAATTGTGTTTTATTATAAATTAAGTGGAAAGCTATATCATAAGTTTTACACTTTAAAAGTTTTGAAAACTTTTAAAAAAAAACTTTAAAGAAGGCCCTGAAGAGATGGTTCTGCCAATTGGCCTGGGGACTCCAGAGTAATACAGAGCCCATCAAGTGACTTGTCTGATTATTGTCATCAAGAGGGATTATTGTCACAATAGGGTTATTGCTTATTGTATTGAGGTTTTATCTTGTAAACTGCCCGGAGTCACTGACAGTGAGTTTGGCCCGCTATAAATTTAGTTAAATAAATAAATACACTTTCTAGAATGGTTTTAAGAAGGTTTCTTGTAAAACGCTGTAATTTTTAAAAAATTTGTATAAAAAGATTTTTTTAATGGCTGTTTACTAACTTCACAAAACCAATTTTATGTGTTTTCTTTCCATTTCAACGTTTTCCTTAATGTATTATTTTTTTTAAGTATTCTGAGGACATGAAACACAAGACTACTCTTTTAGAACTTCAGAAAATGTTCACGCATTTAATGGTAAGTTTTAAAAATCTTTTCAAAGATATATCCTTACGATAACATACCAGATAAAATATTTTAATTTCTTAGTATTTAAATCTTTTTATTGACTTTCTGTAATCCAAGCATCAGTGAGCTCTCCCTTATGTTCACTGTTTGGCTGATCCTTGAAAAAAATGGGCAGGACTGGAACCCTCCATCCACCTTTGCTTCCATATTGATTGTTCACAGATGCTCATATCTGGACTGTTTTGTTGGTTTTTATTTTCTTTACACAAGTTCTCTCTTGCAAGGCAGAAAAAGAAAGAAATAAAGAAATGAAAATTAAAGTTAAACCTTGTTGGACTGAAATTACAGAATTTGAGAGGCCCACAGCAATAGTTTTTGATTTTCCCTATACCTTTATGGATGCAGAATACTTGTATATTTGTCTCTTTTCCCAGTAATGGAAGATTCCCTTTTCCCCCCATATGGAGGCAACCATTGGTATTGCAGCATAAGCATTGAGAAAAAGCCAGTTGTGCATATTGTGTGTGGTATATGCAGACTCAAGGAAAGAGAACTGTGCTCTTAAAAGAGGTTCTCACTTGGAACCCACAACAGTATTTCGCAGGAGCTGAAATACTGTCTATTAAAACCCAGGTGTTGAGTGCTGCATTGACATGCAGTCAGTGAACACTCCAGGAAGAGAAACAGTGCTGGTGGCCTAGCAGCTTCTTTCAGTTCAGCCAGGCCCAGTGTATCTCGAGCCATAGTTGGGCTTGGTTGGTAGGCTAAATAGTTGGCACTCCCTGGACTCTTGCACTGTTCAGCACTGTTGCCCAAGGACCTGTGCTCACTCTTATGCTCTGTAGTAGGTTCTGCTTCTGAGACTCCCAATATCTGGGATATTTTGAGGCAAATGCTTGTCAGTGAAGATGGGCCAGAATTTTGGCACTGGGAAGGAGATTAAAGGAAGGTTCTTTGAGAGTCTTTGCTGAGCAAGGAGAAGGAAAGGCTGTGAGCAAGATCTTACTGCTAGGCAAAGTAGGGAGGAAGGACTCTCTGTGCAAGGCAAAGAGGAAGAAAAGGAAAAGCGAATGAAAAAAAATAAGGGAAGGAGAGAGAAGAAATAGGCTTGTAGGAAAAGAAAAGGTTGCAAAGTCCTCAGTGGAATGGCTATACTAGATATTATCCTATAAAGATTCTCATAAGCAAACAAGTATACTGGGTGCATGGTTTTCAATTTCTCACATTGATTCCACTATCAGTAGAAGTTGCTAAGCTATTAGAATACTCCATTCTGTCTGTAGCTGATTGGTCTTCCACGTGGCAAAACTATAAGCCAAGAGCATTTCTTGTGCTATGATTATTATGAGCTGAACTATGTTAGTATCCTAATTACCTTACCAAACAGACTACAGACTGAACTTCCTACTTCATTTTATTCCTATGGCAAACAAAAGGATACAGATCAGAGCAGTTCATAAGCAGACTTAGCCATACAAACAACTTTTGACAAACACATGAACCACCTGTTGTATGTTCTTAACAATTAATTGTTTTCCTGTCTTTAAACAAAGGAAAGTGAATGCAAAGCATATAATCCAAGGCCATTCTGCAAAACCTACACCATGGATAAACAGCCACTAAATACTGGTGAACAAAAGGACATGACAGAATTTTTTACAGATCTTATAACAAAAATTGAGGAAATGTCTCCAGAATTGGTAAGTCTAAAGAAATATTTTTTTTTAATGTGCTTGAAACAATTCTCCCTATTTTGACTGAAATTCATTCATTCATTCATCCACAGAAGAATACTGTGAAAAGCTTGTTTGGAGGTGTTATCACAAACAATGTTGTTTCTCTGGTGAGTTCATACTTTTACTGTCCATTGTTCACTTCAATTAGGGTTGGTTTTTTTTTTTTAGGAGGCAGGTGGGAGTGCAAGTATTGGCTTTATATTTACAGATTCCTATTGATACTGTTGGTTTGATATGTTATGATTATTATTATTTAGGACTGTGAGCATGTTAGCCAAACTGCTGAAGAATTCTATACAGTAAGATGTCAAGTAGCAGATATGAAGAATATTTATGTAAGTAAAACCATAGCAATATCATTGCAGATCTCTTGGCTATTTGAGATCTCCTAACTAGCATTATATCAAATTAAATTGTCATGCTATTTAATGGTATTGCTTATTTTGAATGGCAATGCCTCCAAAATCTCTGAAAGCTCTTTCTAGCACCTGGGAACACAAAATGTTATTTTCTTCTGAATCAGATCGTTGTATCATTTAGGCCAATATTGTCAATGATGAAGGCCAAAGCACCTTAAAATTTCAAGTAGTAATTTTTCTTCTCTACTTTCAACTACTCTCAAGTTTCAAATTGTGTCTGATTTTGCTTTTGGGGGGGAGGCGCATAGCAGTGGCAGACTTAGTTGTATATGTTTGTGGCAGTAGCTTTATGATATTTTTTACCACTAGAAACTTCATGTTTGGCTTCTTAAATTAATTATTTAATAGCATTTTTGTAAACACCTATTTAAGAATAAATTTTAATAATGCATTGTTATTGTAAATTCCTTTACTTTAAATGAACTTTCCTTGTGTATTATATATAGGAATCTCTTGATGAAGTTACTATTAAAGATACCCTAGAAGGTGATAACATGTATACTTGTTCACACTGTGGGAAGAAAGTACGGGCCGAAAAAAGGTAAAATCGGAGGAAGAAAGCTTTGAATTTATTCTGGCTTAATTTACTAAACATTAAATACATCATGTATTTAAATACTGTATACTTATACTCTAAACATAAGATATTTTGAAAGTAGTGTAAGGCATTAAAGAATGAATATTTTCTTCTGGTTCTAGGGCATGTTTTAAGAAATTACCTCGAATCTTAAGCTTTAATACAATGAGATACACTTTTAACATGGTTACTATGATGAAGGAAAAGGTCAACACACACTTCTCATTTCCTTTACGTTTGGATATGACCCCTTATACTGAAGATTTTCTCATGGGAAAAAATGACAGAAAAGAAGGTATTTGATTTTATTCATCTTCAAGTTTTTCCTACTAAATCTGTTGACCATTTTAACCAATTTGCATGACATTTTTGGATAACATTGGGCAGTTGTCATGGAGGGGCAAGCAGAAGTATTGATTTTTAAAAAGCTGGTGTTTTCTGAGATTTTGACATAGATATTGAAAACCTCAGTAGGTCACGATCTCCCTCCTTTTATGGGAAAAAGTCACATCTGGAGAAATGAATAGCAGAGGCTAGAAAGTAACATTATATTTTCAAAATGACTTGATGCCATTATTTTCCTCAAGCAAGCCCTAAGACCTTTGCCGTTTGTTATTCTTTGCTTTCCACTCTCCCAAATGAAATGTTTTATTTTCCATTGGGAGAGGGGGAGATTGAGTGGAAAGGCGGGGTTACAGTGTAGAATATTGGTAGGTCTTACTCTGCCTCTGAAAATGCCAGCCACAGCTCCTGGTGAAATGACAGAATGAAAGGAGGTCATTCAGCCTGAAATCTCATCACTGTTTCAGGATTAGGGTGCAGTTTGAAGCCACTGCAACTGAAGTATACATTCAAACATTTCTGGTAAAGTTATTGGTTTATATTTGTTTGTATACTCATTTTCATTATCAGTTACGCCATGTTGCTATAGTCCTCGACTTATGACTGTTGTTTCATTGACCATTTGAAATTACAATGGTGCTGAACAAATAGACTTAAGAAACCTACCTGAAGTTACAGCCATTGCAGCATCCCCACCATTATGTGATGAAAAGTTGGATATCCATTTGCTCCTCTTATTTCTTCCAAAAATTGAATTTCTGAAAGAGCACCCAATTATTGTGCCAATCAAGTAACTTTTCAGAAGGGCACAGTTCTCCTGTGCGCTGCTTGGGGAATCCAAGCATGGGTTAACTTTGTCCATTAGCCTAGAGACTGAGTTATGTAATTGTTGACCATGCCTCCTCTGACTGGGAAAGTTCAGTTTTTTTAGCTCAGTCCAGCCTTAAAGAGACACAAATTTTTTCTCCTCTAGGATAATAGACAAAATTAGCTCATTTGACTTGGTTTTTTCTCTTTTTGGTACACGTTTAATTACGTGTTCATTTCCTTAAAATTATAGAACTTGCAGTTCCTTGCGACTCTAGCGGCCGCAGGAACGTTTGCCAGGAGACTTACTTGCCGGGCGCCTGAACGGGTCTAATCAGTAGAGGGTCGGTTCGCCGCTCTCTTCCCAGATAAGCAGCCATGGTGAGAGTTGGTTCGCCGCTCTCGTGTCAGCGTGGGTCTCAACAACCTGCTGGTACAGCCTCCCCTTCTCTTCTCTTGCCGCTGAGAAAGACAGCGCAACATTGCCTCCAGCGGGCACAATTGTCAGGCGTGGGTCGCGGTTTCCAGCTCTTTGGGAGCCTTGCCGCCGCGCGGTTCCGGGTGAGTCAGCCGCGCCATTTCTGCTGCTGGCGTTCCACACACCCCCCCCCTCTGGACAGTGAAAGACGGCAGCCATTTTTGGGATGCACTTTTGAATTTTGCACCGACGCAGTAGCTGGCACCGGCCATTTGAGCCATTAGTGCCTTTGCGCCAAATCAGCAACAGAAAGAAGTGGAGTTTGCCTTTCGTGCTCAACTGCGATTGAGTACGGAGAGAGTTATTGTGCTGCAGAGGTCGGTTCGCAGCCATTATTTAGCACCGTAATGAGTCAGCTCACCAATTTATCAGAGGTTTGCCCTGGTTTCAGAAGTGAACTTGAGCCTTTCAACACTCTCCCGCTCCCCCCATGCATTACTATGGCCAATCATTCTGTTTCTGGAGGCAGCGATGGAGCTTCCAGCTCTTTCCCACTGCACTGTGAAGCCGCTGGGCTCAGCACCAGGGTGGGTATGGCCATCACTAGGGCCTCTAAACATAAATTGCGCACACCATCTGCAGCCCCGGATAGAGCTGCCAAGGACAAAGAGAAGGCCAAGTCATCGGGCCTCCTGGGCCCACAACTAGGTCCCCTCCTACTTTAGTGGCCGAATGCCATTTCCCTCGATTCCTCCAGTGGGAATCCAGGGCTGGTCCCCCGGTGTTCCCACACCACTGGGCAGGGGTGCAGACGAGGGAGATTTGGGGCCCCGATCTACCCAAGATCTGTCTGCAGTGGGCCTGACCACGAGTCAGGCATCCCCACAATCAGAGCCCATGGCCACGTTCACACCCATGGCTGCAGGCCTCAGGGCCAGGGATGGGCCCAAATTTAATTTGCCCCCCAGAACTTCATAGCATGATTTCTGGAACCATTTCCCAAGGGATGGATGCAGAGTTGCAGCGCAGGGCCAGCGCCCTGTTCCTGTCAGCATTGCCAGAGATCTATTTCTCAGACTGATCTTCCTTCATCACCACCTTCAGCATACAGCGAAGGCTCTATCCTAGGTGAGGAGGAGGAGGACGTTGCTGCCCTGGAATTGTCGGATGACGACAGTCCGGTGCAAGATACACCGGCTTATTCCAGCCCGCCTTTTTTAAATTGCTTTTGTACAAAGCTAAGGCAACTACCAAGATGGGTGGTGCCACCACTCAAGCCAGTATGGCCGTGGCCCTTGATTCCACTGACTGCTTTTTCGCAGAACAAGTGCAGAAACAGGAAGTCATACCTGTCCCGAAGCTGTTTCTGGACGTCATTCAGAAACAGTGGTCCCAACCGACGGCTGTCCCCCCTCCCCCCCCAGTAATGGTGACAGGAAGCTCTACGCTTCCACGGCTGAGTTGGATGAACTCCTTCAGTTCCCTACTGCGGATCCCCCTGTAGCGGCTTTGGCCTCTCCTGCCTTGATCCCTTCTGAGATTTCGGAAGGTCTTAAGGCCGAGGACTGCAGGGCCGAACTGGTCATCTGTAAAACGCACCAGACGGCTGCCTGGGCATTACATGCTGCCACAGCAGCTTCTTTCCTTAATAGAACTTCGTTGGTTTGGTTGCTGCAGTCTAGGCTTCCCCCTGAGGACCTCCAACTACACCAGGATGTAAATAAAGTGCTGGCAGCGCTAGAGTTCTCTTCAGATGCTACACTCAACGCTTCCAAGTTTGCGTCCTACACGGTAACATCCAATGTGGCATCCCGCCGACTCTTCTGGCTTCACCATTGGCAAGCTGATTTACGCTTCAAATGGCGTCTTGCTTCTACCCCTTTCAAGGGAGGCCCTCTGTTTGGGGCTGCATTGGATCCTATCTTAATTGAAAATAGAGAGAAAAGCAAAGTGCTTTCTTCAACCACCAGACGCAGGGACAGGAGACAACAACCATATCATAGAAGACACCCTTTCAGGCCAGGCACTCCGGGTACAACCCTGCCCCATATGTTCCTCCCTATTCCAGGCCGTTTACCCATCCAGAGGACAGAAATCAGGACCGCCCTGGTACCAGGGACAGGGGCCAACAACAGCAGGCCCGGCGGCCATTTTGTGGGAACAGTAACTGATCCTTTCGCAGGTACTGATGACTCACACAAGGTGGGGCCTATTGGCGGGCGTCTCACATCTTTCGCCTTCCAATGGGCAGAAACCACCTCGGACGTGTGGGCACTTCAGACCGTGAGGATGGGCCTCACTCTGGAATTTCTCACTATCCCCCCGAGGCGTTTCATCGGGTGTCCCGTACCAAGGTACCAGGTAAAGAAATGCCTGATAGACTCCGAAATCGACCATCTGATTTCCATAAATGCTATAGAAAGGTGTTCTGACCCCCTCCTCCGTCCAGTAACAAATTCCAAGACAAGCGTAACTGGAATTTCACAGCACTTTAATTAACAGGAAACATAAACTTCGGTGGCTGAAAGCTCAAGCATAAACAAACAGAAGAACCTTGGCAGCAACTCAAGACTTTGACAGAGACAGATAACAGCTTCTCCAGCGTTACAAATGAAGTTGAATCCTACAAAACCAGGGTCCTCCCAGTCTCTCTTTAAATACAATCTTGAGAGGAGCCTAATTACAATCACCTGGGTCCAATTATCTTTTGTAACTGCGTAGCTGCTCTCTACGTCGATCTGCGTTGCCGGGCATCCAGGACCACCTCCCTTGTCTCCTCATCACTACTCTAAGGCATGACATCATGAGCACACTCCCTTCGGCTCTCACCGCTGCTCCATGCCTCAGGCGCCTCCTGATGGCCAACCATCCTCTCTGCGCCCTGCTCAGAGTCGGAACCCTGTCCAGGGTCCTCCAACTCTTCCAGAGCAGACTCATAAGGCCCCTCACTGGCGGAGTCTGTTTGCAGCTCCAATGGCTCCTGCCGGGCCACAACAGAAAGGGTACCTCAGGGGCAGGAAAGGCTAGGGTTCTACTCTATCCTCTTCTTGGTCCCCAAAAGCTAGGGACGATGGCAAGCCATCCTAGACTTGAAATGGCTCAGTCTCTACCTGAAATACCAGAGGTTCAAAATGCAGTCACTCAAGAGCATTCTGTCCTGCATCCGGAAGGGTGACCTACTAACCTCTATGGATATCAAGGAGGCATACCTCTATGTGCCAATACATCCGTCACATCGAAGGTTCTTGCAATTCTAGTTTGCGAGGCGCCATTTCCAATACCACGTTGTAGTAACAACAGATGCAAGTCTATTCGGATAGGGAGCCCATGCCCTGGGTGAGTGACACAGGGTCGCTGGAGTGCCCAGGAATTGCGGAACAGCATCAACTGGCTAGAGCTTCGAGTGATCTGCCTAGCTCTCTGTGACTTTCGAGACCTGGTGACGACCAACCACCTGTTGGTTCTCACGGACAATGTAGCTTCCAAGGCGCATATCAGCCGCCAGGGAACCACTAGGTCCCGGGCCTTGATGTTGGAAGTGGAACGTCTTCACCATTGGGCGGAGACACACCTGCTAGGAGCCAAGGTGGCGCAGTGGTTAAATGCAGCACTGCAGGCTGACTGCTAGATCAGCAATTCAGCGGTTCAAATCTCCCCGGCTCAGGGTTGACTCAGCCTTCCATCCTTCCGAGGTGGGTAAAATGAGGACCCGGATTGTTGTTGGGGGCAATATGCTGACTCTGTAAACCGCTTAGAGAGGCCTGAAAGGCCTATGAAGCAGTATATAAGTCTACTGTTATTGCTATTATTGCTATTGCTATTGTTATCACTTCGGGCAGAGTACATTTCGGGCACAGCCAATGTACAGGCGGATTGGCTGAGCAGAACCACAATAGACCAGACGGAGTGGCAGCTCCATCCAACTCTATTCCAGGAACTGTTTCACCGCTTCGGCCGGCCCCAAATGGATCTCTTTGCTCAACTGCACAATGCACACCTGTCTAGGTTCTTCACCAGGTATTACGTTCCGGAAGCGGAAGGCACTGACGCCCTTCGCAGCCCCTGGCTGGAGGGTCTCCTATACATCTTCCTACCTCTCCCATTCGTACCGCTGGTCATCCAGAAGATTCTGTTGGAGCAGGCAGAAGTTCTCCTGGTCGCGCCAATGTGGCCCAGACGCTCTTGGTACGCTGACCTGGCCATCTTTCAATTGTCCGACCGTGGAGTATCCCAGATGACTGGATAACTCTCTTGCAGGGGGTTCTCATCCATCCGAACCCTCAGCTACTATAATTAGCCGTGTGGCATGTGAGCAGGCGATCTTGATGCATCAGCACTTCTCTGACAAGGTCATCACCACGATCCAAGTTGCTCGCCGTCCATCCACAACACGGATTTATGAGGCTACCTGGCAGGCCTTCTGCAGGTGGTGCCGGGTTGTATCCGTGGACCCACTTAAGGCTTCCATTCCATGGCTTTTAGACTTTTTACAATCGGGTTTGGACAAAGGGCTAATGCCCAGCACTCTGTGTAGACAGATTGCGGCATTATCGACTGTGGTTGGTGGTGCCCAGGGCCATTCCCTCACTTGCCATCCGAGGGTCCAGTCCTTCCTGAAGGGCGCATCTAACCTCAAACCACCAGTAGTCCACCGTTACCCTACATGGGATTTGCCCCTAGTACTTAGAGCTCTCACGGCTGAGCCTTTCGAGTCCATCCATACCGTCAGTCTTAGATTGTCGACCCTCAAAACCATCTTTTTAGTGGCGATTGCATCCACTAGAAGAGTCTCAGAACTGGCGGCACTTTCAGTACGGGAGGATCTCTGTATATTCCATCAAGACAGAGTCATCTTGCGATTGGACCTGGCATTCTTGCCAAAAATTAACTCATTGTTTCACAGGGCGCAAGAACTTATTCTCCCAGACTTTTGTCCCAATCCGTCAGACCCTGGAAGGAACGGAAGTGGTACCCTCTCGACGTTCGCAGGGTCCTCCGTCGCTATGTGAAGTGCACGGAGTCATTCAGAAGATCAGAGGCACTTTTTTGTGTCTATCCAGCTGGCATCCATGCGACAGAAGGTGTCCTGAAACACCATTGGGCGCTGGTTGAAAGTGTGTATGATATGCATACCAATCTCGACCGGCACCCAGGCGCATCACTTCCCATTCCACTAGGTGTGCGGCCACCACGGCAACATGAGTAACACAGGCCTCGGTGGAGGACATATGTATGGCGGCGACCTGGTCATCACCGTTGCCCTTCATCCGTCATTACAAAGTGGACATGTATGCCTCAGCGGAGGCTTCCTTTGGGCGATGTGTCTTACAGAGGATGGGAAGCAGGCCTGAGAACTTTGGGACAAGGCCAGCTAGGAGCAGGTGCACGGCCTATAAAATCCAAAGGGACGGAATCTGTGCAAGAAGTGCCTCACGTATAGGGAAAGCCTTGGGAGGCCCAGTCAGATCACATGTGAAGTGGGAAGGTGCTGCATTTTGGGCCTAAATCTGCACTGAGCCTCCCCCACATCTTGTGGCATCCCACATCCCACTTAACAACTGCAATAGGGAGAGTCAAGATTGAAGTCATTGGGTGAGATTGTTACGTGGGTGCTTCACTAAATGACCACAATGAATTAAAAGTAATTCCAGGTTCAATTCTGATAGTAAATCAAGGACTACCTGTATGGAATGCAAGTACTTCCATTCCAGCAGTATAGCCAGCAGTTTTTATCATATTCCTGCAACTTTGCTCCTTCCCTGCTGATACTGTTGTTGATGTGTACCTGTTCAGTGAAAGATTACTAATTAGTATTAGCAATTATATCTCAGAGATGCCTAATCCTCACAGGGCTTTGACCATCAGCAGTTGCTGTTGCCACTATACTTTAGCAGCAACAGAGAGTGAGGAAAACAGCAGCCAGAAGAGAGAATTATGAGTCCCTGTACTAAACCACAAAGCAGATTTTTGAAAGCCTCTTATTTCCCACATGTTCTAACAATGATAGAGCTATTATACATTCATACATGTTCTTTCAGCTGTTGGTACTGATAATGAAGAGGGATCCCTTCCTCAATTGAAGGAATGAATTATGAACCTTTCTAAAGGTTCTGAGCCTGGGGAGCTTCCTTTTATTTTCCCATGCTGCAAAATGGGGATTCTTTAGATCTGTACATATCATGCCAAATATTATTTGTAAGGAAGGGGATGTATTCTGCTTGTTGGTATCTTGCTAAATAACCCAAGGCCTGGGTCCCTAGAGGCAATATTTGTTGTTTTGTTTTGTTTTGTTTTCTCCCTTGTTGTCTACTAGATTTTATCTGATTTTATTTTATTTTTTGATTTTTAAATTAAAATCAATAAATGGGAAACAAACATATTGCAATGTAAAGCACCACATGTCAGGCTTGAAGAACACTTTAGTTGCTAATAGGTCTAAAGGCTTTTTTTTTTTTTAGAAAATACAAATTGGTGGGTATCTGCTTCCTGTGACACTATTCCTATTATCCCAGAAATAAGATAAGTTAAAGTGATAAGTCATATCTGGGAGATAAAAGATACTAAGTTTTGTAATATATTATTTTAGGTTTTAAGGACGATGGCAGTAGTTCAAAGGAGACCAAGAGTTATGAGTATGATTTGATAGGTGTAACTGTCCATACAGGAACTGCTGATGGGGGGCATTACTACAGCTTTATCCGAGATATTATTAATCCTCATGCTTACAAAAACAACAAGTGGTAAGTTATGAATGTTTAGTAAATATTTTATTAATGGTAGAGTATAATTTGTCAATTGTTGTATCTCAGAAAATGAAAGGTTTGTTTTAGTTGCTGGATAAACTTGCTGTGTCTTTGCAAAATTAGTCACCGACATTACTTCATTAAAATTTCAGGCATTATTCTGTCCAGCTTTAATAGCAATGGCTGATGATTTCATCTTACTAGTAGATAGGATTGTACTTACTTTGCTTGAATTTTGTTACTTGTAATATTATAGTAAACTTAAGAATTTCACTGAATTTCACCTTCATTTATCTTCAGTGGAGTGAATATTTTAGTCTTGTATGAATCCACCTAATTCCCAATGTTTTGCATTGTCTAGGTATCTTTTCAATGATGCTGAAGTAAAGCCATTTGATTCTGCTCAGTTGGCTTCTGAATGTTTTGGTGGAGAAATGACAGTGAGTTGTAATATTTTTATTACTATTTAAAAGGAACACGTTTTAGTTTAGTTTAAGTTTAGTTTAAGGTTTATTTATATGCCGCCCTTTTCCCTGGGGGGACTCAGGGCGGCTCACAATCCAAGGAGGGGGGGAAAAACAGACTTTTACATATAAACAATACATGATTAAAAACACAACATTCATACCATTCGGGCGGGTTGCAGGCCCTGTTAATGTTACCTCATCTTGCTATTTCATTGCATATTTAATCCACTACAATCAGGAACTAGCTCAGAAAGCCTCTGACTTGACAATAAGATGCCATCCTGGAGGACAAAAGAAAAGGATTTTTTTTTAAAAAAAAGTTGCAAATTAAAAAAAAAAACCAAGTAGGATGCAATGAAGCTTTCAAAACATTCTTGATCAAAGACTATGGAAGTGAGGTTCCAATATACACTTAAAATATATTCATCTATTCATTGATTTTAATAATAGATAATTATATATTATTCAGTTCATTACATTTCCATATATTACTGTTGCAACAACAACTTGTAATTATAATTGTATGCATAAGACTGTCTTACATAAGAGACAATTATCATACTATTCAGTACTAAATTGTAGAAAATTATACATATTCATTCAAACAAATTAAATTGGCAATATGTAATGTGAAGTAATGTTGATATTTGTACAGTTATCAGAAACAGCACAAAGAAAATGTATTCCTTCTAAGATATTTTTTTTTCCAGACAAAAACCTATGACTCTGTCACCGATAAATTTATGGATTTCTCTTTTGAAAAGGTACCTAATTTTACATGTATGTTTAGACAATATCATCTTTCCATTATCTGCCTCTTTTCTGATATCAATGAAGTGTTGGCTTTTGTTTTTGTTCTCTCAGACTCACAGTGCATACATGCTCTTCTATAAACGAATGGAACCAGAAGAAGAAAATGGTAAAGATTATACATTTGATGTTTCTTCTGAATTACTAGAGGTATGTGCTTCCTACAATTATAAAATTGTTATACTTCAAACAACACAAATTTATATTCTGATTCTGATTTTGCCATTAGGTTGTCCAAGGAAAAATTGATTATTGTCAAACATTGTGATGTAATGTAGCAGGACTTTAAATTCTTACTGTACAGTACTTAGTTCTCCACCCATTTACCTTTAGTTTATGTTTGCATTTTTCCCCTGTGCTCTGATACCCCATGTGGAACATTATGCAATGACATGAATTAGACCCAGAGTCATGCTGACTGCTGGCTGTATGATAGACAGAATTCTTAGTTTGGGCTAATTTGGGCTAGTTTTCATTATATCAAAATAGCATTATTAAAAATAAATATATTTCTTAGTAGACCAGGGGAGAAAGGGCTCTTTTTCATGTCATATTTATTTCATTACATTATTAGTAATATCAATGTCTATTAAGTGGATAATTAATATTACTAAGCATTATCATAGCAATAGCAATAGCAGTAGACTTATATACCGCTTCATAGGCCTTTCAGGCCTCTCTAAGC